AGCCATCGCCCCCGCGATCCTCACGGAGGTCAGCCGAACACAACTCGTCGTCGGGGAAGGAACCGAACATCTCGTCGATCTCAGCCTGCGTGGGGGCACGGAGCTTCTTCACCTTGCGTTTTTTTCGTCTTCTTGATGGTGCGCTTGGATCGGGCGCGCTCGGGTTGAACTGCACCTGCCACCAGCCGAGGTTGTTTAATCCGCTTGCCCGAAGCCCGCTCGAAGTAGCACGTCCGAAGATCCTTTGAAATAGAATCATACGCATGACTGTGTCTTAACACTCTTTTCTAAATCTTCAGATATCTGAGCTTCTCTGCCAAGGCAAGGCTTTCAGACTGGAGAACATCGATCCTGAATCCTGGCGCCGTCACGTCTGTTGCTGGGACTCGGCTGTAAATCTTTCCCAACTGACACAGACATGTGTGCGTTTCTATTCCCATCGATCCTTCAAGCGCCGCTTCCCGTAAAGCACTGAGATGGCCTGGCGCCCCTCACAGAGCACGTCAGCGAAGCACTCCGGAAGGGCTAACCAGGAACCACCAGCAGACTTCTCGACAAAGAACGGAATCTTGGTGAGCTCCCCCTTGCCCAGCATGGCGCGCGCGACTCGTCGAAATTCCACACGCTCGCGAGCTTCAGCTAATTGTTTTTTTGTTTTTCAGCCCCCAACTGGAGGAAGAAGAAGAGGTGGATAATGAGAATGAGGACGACGGGGAAGGATGAGAGGAAGAGGAGAAGTGAGGATCACGAAGACGAGGAGGAGCAGGAGGAGCAAGAGGAAGAGCACCCCACCATGAAATTTGGCCAAGAGGGTGGTCCACGGGAGTCCCATGCCAGACGTTTGTATACAACAGAAAGGTGGGTGGGTGGGGGGGGGGCGAACGGTCTTACACCGTCCCGGGTGGCCCGGGTGCGTGGCTGAAACGGGATTCCGCGGAACGGATGTTGCGTGTTGTTGCTGGCGTTGTTATTGTCGTCGTCGTCGCTCCACCCGAGACGGACCCCGCGACCGACCCCGCAACTCAACCGCACCCAACCTCAACCAACCCGCGACCCACCCCGCGACCCACCCGCTGCCCAACCGCGACCCACCCGCGACACACCCGCGATCCACCCCGCGACCCACCCGCGACCCACCCCGCGACCGACCCCGCGCCCACCCCGCGCCCAACTGCTGTCAACCCGCGATCCATCCACGACCCACCCTCCGACCCCCCCGCGACCCACCCGCGACCACACCCCGCGACCCACCCCGCGACCCACCCCGCGACCCACCCCGCGACCCACCCCGCGACCCACCCACGAGCCAACCCCGGCCTACCCGCGCCCCACCCCGCGCCCGCCCCCGCACTCTAACCCGCAACTGCGGGGTGCTACATACACATACACAAACACGCAAGCATGCATGTATTAGCATTTATTGGTTTACTAGAATCGCGCGCGCTTCGCGCGCGCTGAGGCTCTGGCGCAGACTTGGGCAGCAGCTCAACAACGGGTGGGTCAGCGTCAAAAACCAAAGCCCAATCGCCACGGATCGCCAGAGCGAAGGCACTCATCGACCTCGTCAGGCTCATCACCGTCCGACTGTTCATCGCCCCCTCGTCCTCCCCATTATCATCATGATACCGCCTCCATTGACTTCTATGTTCCTCTTTGTCTGGTCATATGTCTCATCTTTTTGTTTTCCATGTCTCGTTCTCTCTCTCTCTCTCTCTCTCTCTCTCTCTCTCTCTCTCTCTCTCTCTCTCTCTCTTCCTCTCTCGTGTTCTTTCCCCTGGCTCTCTTTCAATCATTCATCCTCCAACTCTCTCGTACTCCACGCTTCCCAACACGATCCCATCGTTTCCCATGCTCCGCCGACATCTCCCCCCCTTCACACATGTTTCTCTCTCTCTCTCTCTCTCTCTCTCTCTCTCTCTCTTTCGGACGGACCCTGGTCCGCCTACTTGTCCGGTCTCTCTCTCTCTCTCTCTCTCTCTCTCTCTCTCTCTCTCTCTCTCTCTCCTTGGCATCATCACCCATCATCGCCATCAAGACATTCATCCCTCGAGGCGACGGAACGTAGCAAGGATGATAGAAGAGTCTGGTAGGCTCCCTTCCCCCCACCTTTCTCCTGTTGTGCGTTCGCGTTCCTTTCCACAACTGCGCGCTCGCTCCTGATAAGGGTGATGAGGAGACTCCTGTGGAACTGTGGGGCTACTCTCGGGAGAAGGGGGGCCCTCATGGGGGCTCATTTTCGGGAACGGCGTGGGCGAATATCGTGGAAGCAGGGCTATTGGGGAACCAGGGACATGTTCGACGCTCTATTGTGGCTCCTTTGGGCCGCCGGAGGGCTCTCTTTTGGGGTTATCTTGGGGCCCTTCTTGAGGGGCACCTAGGCTCTGTTGGAGCGACTCGGGAGACCTCTCTGGCCGCCAGCGCCGTCTTGGGGTCCTCTTGGGCCGTCTTGGGGGGCGCTGGGGCTGCCTGATGGCCATCTAGGACGCCCTACTGGGGCCTGTGGGGCTCTCTTAGCCCGCCTTGTGGCGTTCTTGGATTATCTTGGGGCCCTCTTGGAAGGCGTTGGGGCGGCCTCGGGGCGACTTGGGGGGCCCCGCGGGCCGCTGCGCGCGGTCAGCAGGCCGGAAAAAAAAAACAGAACGCTAACAACCTCCGAAAACCCAAGGGAAACACGCAGGCTTGGCCTCTCGAGGCTTCCTTGGGGGAGCTCCTTGAGCCCCCATCGGGCTGTTTATATATATATATATATATATATATATATATATACATATATATATATATATATATATATATATATATATAGTCACCCCGTCAGCCAGTATGACCGCCCCCTGAATGTTGTTCTTGTTCGGGCGTGCTCGCACCCATCCTTTTCGCGGCCTCGCTCTGAGGCAGCACCCAAAAAGGACAGGCCACTAGCCCAGCGGCCGCGCGAGCGGCCCTGGCGGACCCCGCAAGGGGAGGCGGGCGTCCCTCCAGGAGCCACGAACACTCTCAAGGAAAGAGGGGAGGAGGAGGGAAACCACACTGCAGCTTGATTCTGCCAGGCCCGAGCGATGGCACGGCGCCGCCTCGATGTGACACGGAGGCGGGCTTCAAAGTGTTGCTCGGCCGTGCCAGGGATGCCCAGCCTTCGACAATTGTGTAGAGCAACAAAAGCGTCAACACAAGCAGCGAAGAGAACCTTAGACGACATTGGTGATGGTGCAAGTTGGAGGAAAGGGGGGGAGCCAGGGCGAGCCCTCAGGAAACCACGAAGACGAAATAAACAGTGGACCGAGCCAATATCTGAAAATGGAAGCAAGCCGAGGACAACAGACGCAATGCTCAACAGAATCCAGATCGTCCTCCCCGAGAGCTGGGCATCCCAGGGCACAACCTGCGGGACGAGATTTATATCACTTTGAAGTGCAAAGGCCACGACAGAGGATACGCATGGTTGTCACTACCACGTAAGGCTGAGTTTTCATCAAGACAAAGTAAGAGTTGATGTAGAAACGATCCATATGCTTTAGAGAAATATCTGGAAACCATGCCTCAATTCGACGGAACAGCGTACGGCGAGGATCCTCCTTCGCAGGCGACCGATCCAGTATCATCTCATAAGGACGAGCCTGCAGGCGAGGAAGATCAGTGCGTAGCTGTGATGGGATACTATGGTACCAAGAATGTAGCTCAAACGTGTAGTCTTCCAATATCCGGCCCTCAAGCGAAAAAAAAAAATGCTCAGGATGATCCTCTAGAGACCGAAGGTGTTCAAAAACACAACCTATCCCATCGTTTCTAATCGTGTACCGAATGCGTGTCGCTTTAGCTAGACACGCCAGGTCCACAAACTCGATGGGCAGGCGCATCTTCCGAAGCTGAGTACAAAAGGAATAAGAGAAAGAGTTCCTGGGGGCAGCCGTGAGGAACATAACCGAGTCACGATAACACACACAAGAAGTTCACTAGAGATAGGATGAAGCTGAAGGATGAAAGAGAGGACGGATACGCACATGACTCGAAAGACGACGGCGGCCCGAGTAAGCCCTAGACCAAGTTGTCGAGTGATTCCAACTCTAAGCCTGAACTTCGAAAGCGCCTCCGACCATGCGTGCAGATGAGCGAGCGGACCAATGAAGGCGCCCAGATACTTCGCGCACTTCACTACCTGCATCAACTTAAAATCACCCTTCAGAGCGGCAGTCGACTCTCGCATCAGAGGTAAGTCCAAGTTACCCGGAATCAAAATCTCACACTTTTTGAAGTTCAGCACCAAGCCCGCAATAGGTTCCAGAAGTTGAAGGGACCGAAGAACAGGACCCAGGATTGAGCCCCCATCGGGCTGTCTTGGGGCGCTCTTGAACAATCTTGGGGCCCCCGTGGGCCTCTGCGAAGCCGTCATTGGGCCAACTCGGTGGCCGCTCCTTGTGGCTCCCGGAAGCTCGACGGGACCCCCCGGCACACCAGTCGCCAGTCGAGGCTCCGCCCCGGGGATCCCTGGCCCTGGTCCCCCATTAGATGTAGAGTTGATTCGCACACGCATCAACTCATCTATGTATGTTTATATATATATAGATATATGTAAAAACATGTGTATATACCTATGTATGTATAGGTATGTGTATGTATATGTATATATACACGCACACATATATATACATATATATATGTACAGATACATGTATGTAACTATACATATACATCCGGGTGTCTGGGCAAAACGGTCATTCACTGTCCCTGGGCGCGTGGCCGCAGAGCGGTTCCGCGGCGCGGGTTGTTGATGTTGTCGTTGTCCTCGCCCACGGCGCCCCCCCGCGACCCATCCGCGCAACCCCCACCCCCGACCCACCCGCGACCCACCCCGCGCCCGCAGCCTTACTCTTATCCGCAGCTGCGGGGGGCTACGTTGGGGTTCGGCGGGCTTGGCGGGGCATGCCCCCACCTGCCAGGGTGAACGGGTGCGGCTGAGATGGCATGGCCCAGTGGGGCGGGGATCCGTTGGACGATGCCGAGTCCTTGAGCTGCTCCTTCGCGGACTGGACGTCGTGTTTCACCAAGCCCTTGGCCTCCTCCAGCGCCTGCCTCTTGACCTCCTCCTCGGAGGCGGCGCGCACCACGGGGGGTGGTCGTCGACGTCGTCGTCATTGTCGTCGTCGTCCTTGTCGTCGTTGCAGTCGTCGTCGTCGTCGTCGTCGTCGTCCTTGTCGTCGTCGTCGTCGTCGTCGTCGTCGTTGTCCTCGTCGTCGTCGTCCTCGTCGTCCTCGTCGTCGTCGTCGTGCTTGTCGTCGGAGGGCGGCTCGCGCCATGAAGGCGGGGGGGGTGTCGCCGTCGTCGCCGCCGCCGCCGTCGTCGTCGTCGTCCTCGCCGTCCTCGTCGTTGCCTTCGCCCGCATCGTCGTCGTCGTCGTCGTCGACGGCGTCGACGTCGACGACGTCCTCGTCGTCTTCGTCGGCGACGTCGTCGTCCCCCTCCGCCGCCTCCTCGTCGTCCTCGTCGTCGTCGTCCTCGTTGTCGTCGTCCTCGTCGTCCACATCATCGCCACAGTCGTCGTCGTCGTCGCCCTTGTCGTCGTAGTCGTCCTCGTCATGGTCGTGATCGTCGCCCTCATCGTCGTCCTCGCCGTCGTCGTCGTCCTCCTCGTTTTGGCCGTGCTCGTCGTCCACCCTCGTCGTCGTCGCAATCGACGTCGTCCTGGTCGTCGTCGTCGTCGCTGTCGTCGTTGCCATGCTATTCGTCAACGTTGTCGTGGTCGTCCTCCTCGTCGTCGTCATGGTGGTTGTCGTCTTCTTCGTCAGCGTCGTCGCCGTCCTCGTCAGCGTCCTCCCCGTAGTCGCCGTCGTTGTCGCCGCTATTGTCGTCGTCGTCCTCCTTGTGGTCGTCGTCGTCCTTGTCAACGTTGTCGTCGTCGTCGTCGTCGTCATGGTGGTCGTCGTCTTCTTCGTCAGCGTCGTCGCCGTCCTCGTCAGCGTCCTCCCCGTAGTCGCCGTCGTTGTCGCCGCCATGGTCGTCGTCGTCCTCCTTGTGGTCGCCGTCGTCCTTGTCAACGTTGTCGTCGTCGGCGTCGTCGTCGTCTTTGTCCTAGTCGTTGTCGTCGTCCAGATCGTCGTCGTCATCCGCGTCGTCGTCGTCCTTGTCGTCGTACTCTCTGTCGTCCTCGACGGTCTCGTCGTCGTCGTGCTCATCATCGTCGTCGGCGGTGACGTCGCCGTTGTTGACGGCGTCGTCATCGTCGGCGTCGTTCTTCTTGTCGTCGTCTTCGTCGGCGTCGTGTTCGTCCTCATCGTCGTCGTCGTCGAAGTCGTCGTCGTCGTCATCGTTGTCGTCGTCGTCGTCGTTGTCGTCCTCGTCATCGGTGTCCTCGGCGTCGTCGTCCCCGTCGTCGTCGTCGCCCTCGTCGTGCTGATCGTCGTTGCCGTCCTCCTCCTCATCATCGGCGACGTCGTCGTCATCCTCGGCACGCGTCCCCGGCGTCGTCGTTGTCCTCGTCGTCGTCGATCGTTGCCTTTGTCATCGCCGTCGTCGTCGTCCATGGTCGTTCTCGTCTTCGTCATCGACGTCGTCGAGGTTGTCGTCGTCGTCCTCGTCGTCGCCGTTCTCGGCGTCGTCGCCGACATCGTCCTCGTCGTCGTCCATGGTCATCGTCGTCATCGCCGTCGTCGTTCTCCTCATCCGTCTAGTCGTCGTCGACATCGCCGTCGTCGTCCTCGTCCTCGTCGCCCTCGTCGTCGTCATAGTCGTCGCCCTCGTCGTCCGCATCGTCGTCGTCGTCGTCGTCGTCCTCCTTGCCCTCGTCGCCCTCATCGTCGACGTCGTCGTGCCCGTCCTAGTCGTCGTCGTCGTCGTCGTCGTCGTCGTCGAAGTCGCCGTCGTCGTCGCCGTCGTTCTGGCCGTCGTCGTTGTCGTCGTCGTCCTCGTTGTCGGCCTCGTCCTCGTTGTCGCCGTCGTCATCCATTTCGTCGTCATCGTCGTCCTCGTCGTCGTCGGCGTCGTCGTCGTCCTCGCCGTCGGCGTCGTCGTCCTCGTCGTGGTCGTTCGTCCTCGTCGTCATCCTCGCCGTCGTCGGTCCTCGCCGTTGTCGTCGTCTTCGTCGTCGTCGTCGTCGTTCTGATCGTCCTCATCGTCGTCGTCGTCGTCGTCGTCCTCATCGTCGCCCTCCTCCCCCGTCTCATCAACGTCGTCCTCATGGTCGCCGTCATCGCTATCATTGTCCTCCTCGTCGTCGTCAGCGTCGTCGTCCTCGTCGTCGTCGTGGACGTCCTCGCTGTCCTCATCGTCGTCCTGGTCGTCGCCGTCGTCGTCCCCATCGTCGTCGTGCCCATCGTCGTCATCGTTCGCGTCGTCCTTTTCTTCGTTGTCGTCCTCCTCCTCCTCCCCCTCCTCGTCGTCGTCCTCGTCGACGTCGTCGTCGTCGTCGTTGTCCTCGTCCTCATCCTCGGTGTTGTTGTCGTCGTCCTCGTCGTCGTCGCTGTCGTCCTGCTCGTCGTCGTCGTCGTAGCCGGCCTGGTCGTCGTCGTCGTCCTGGTCGTCGTCGTCGTCCACATCGTCGTCGTCGTCGTTATGGTACTCGTCGTCGACCTCGTCGTCGTCGTCGGCCTCCGTCCCCTCGTCGTCGTCGTCCTCCTCGTCCTCATCGTCGGCGTTGTCGTCCTCCTCCTCGTCAACGTCGTCGTCCTCGTCGTCGTTCTCGTTGTCTGCGTCGTCGTCCTGCCTTCCTTCCTGCCGCTCGAGAACGACAGTGCGAAGAAGTGTCTTCCTTCCTCGGTCCTCCTCCTCCTCCTCTTCGTCCTCCTCCTCCTTCTTCGCTGATCTGTCCTCGGCTCTGTCCTCTGCTCTGCCCTCTGCCCTCTTTCTCCGACGGGTCGCGGCCAGGCCCACAGGGGCCCGCGATGCCCGCGACCAGGCGAATGGCCTTTTTTGGTCCACACGGACGTTGCTTGGTTCGCCGACCGCTTGACGAGAACGCCGCTAATCCTCCTGGACGATGGAGGAGGAGGAGAAGGACGAGGAAGAGGAGGACGAAGAGGAGGAGGGGGACGAGGAGGGAGAGGACGAGGAGGAGGAGGAGCTCCTCCGCCGCCGCCGCCTCCTCCTCCTCCTCCTGGAGTAGCCCTGGTCTCATCGTCAAGGCCCTCCAGGGCGCCGTGCGCCCGATGATGCCCCACAACCAGCTTCGAGCCGCCGCCCGAAGAAGCGAACGGGGCGTTGTTTCGTGGGGAGCGGGCGATCAAGCGGGGCGGCAACGTGCCCTCGTCGTGCCCCTTTGTTGGCAACGGCGGTGCACCTCTCTTCGCCCCCAACCCAGAGGCTCTTGATACTCCCCGCGCCCCTTCCCATGATGGGATGAGGACCCCCGATGATGACAACGATGCTAATGATACTGATAATGATGATGATGATGATGAGGATGATGGTGATGGTGTTGATGAAGATGATGATGCTTTTTCTTAAACAGAATCGGGGCTCAGGGGGAGGGGTAACTTGGGGTCAGCACGGGAGCCCTCTGCCCGTTTCGAGAGTGGATGTGCACCACGGAGCACTACGCACACCGTGCAGGGGCAAGCGGTCGCCCAGCACAGGTGCGATCTGCGGGGCGCGCCGCCGCAGACCCTGACGCTAGTAGGGCCCCAAACAACCGAGGACGAGCGGGGGGGCGGGAGAGCGGACGCGGGACCCGAAGAGGGCATCGACTGTTTGGGGCAGCGCGCACTCCAAGCTCGGCGGGTCGACAAAAGTCGGGCTAACCCGAGATCGATAAAATATGCCGCCGAGGAAGCAATCCAGCTCGTCGACGTCGCCACTGAGCTGAAACTATACAGCAAGGTGCACACGTAATGTACTTCAGCGCAGAGCAGAAACCAAATGTGCACAAGTAGTGCGCTTTTTCATCATCGTCTCGGCCCACCCCCAGGATCAAGACCCGGGGGCCCAGCAATCACCCCTAGGACCGATGGGGGTGGGCCGATGTACCTCTACTCACGCTAGGTTCGCTCGCCTCCATCCACTCGGTCCACTCCTGGAGCTCCCCTTCCATGTAGCCCGCAGGGGCCGATCATCGCAGGTGGCGACCTCCGCATTGGCGCAGCCCGTCGATCAGACCGAAGCGGCGATCGCCAAGGTTCTGGATAGCTAGCACGATCTTCATCTGATCCTCCTGAGCCGTTTTCTGGAGACGGCACGCACGCACGAGCTGCTCCACGTCCTCTTGCTTCTCGCGCGCGTTGATGTCGTCCGACAGGGCCTTGATCTTCTTCTGGTTGTCGCCGCCGCACCCGTCGATCGTCGCTGCCGTCTCGACCAGCGCCGCGAACAGCAGCGCGTGCGGGGGGCCGAAGGGTTCGGCCATCGGGTTCTTCTCCTTCTCCTTGCGAAACTCGTCGGCGCGCAGGCCGAACTCCTCCTGCTCCTCTTGCATTTTCTGCACGAGCTTGTGGCTCTTCGGGAAGATGAACGTGTCCAGGGAAACGCCCTCGATCATTCGTACCTTCTGGGTGTTGCTCAGCGTCTGCTTGGGGATCAATAGCAAGAGCTCGCGCAGTCCCTTGTCCTTGACCTGGATCGCTTTCTCCTTCTTCTCGCCCTTGTTGCGCTTCTTGCCCGCGCGTCGTGTCGGTCTCGGCGCCGCCGCCCCTGGTGGAGCCTCTCGCTTGCCCCTCGCGGCGGAGGCGGCGGCTGCGCCACCGTTCCCAGGCGCTGGGGAGGATGCCGGCGGGCGCCGCACTGGCCGCATCAGCCGTGGGCGAGAACGCGGCAGCACGAGGGCGGGGTGGTACACGGGCGCATGCCGCGCTCGCGGTAGCACGTGCAGAGCGATGGCCCAGCTTAGGCCGAGCTGCAACTTGACGGGGCTCACGAACGATCCACGGGCGCGCCGAGAAGCGCACAGGCATGTGTGTACACAGGTGGTGACGGAGGGCCTCAGTAGAGCCAAAAGCCAACGGTGATGACGACAGAGGTAAAGATGTCGGAGCTCGGCTCGGGGTCGTTTTGTTTCCTGTTCTAGATCGTGTCGGCGCCGATTTAGCTCGTACGGGCGCTTGCTCATATTGATCAGTTTGCGGGCAGGCTGGTCGATCTGCACTCGGTGTGGCCGATGATG